CCATGTCAACCTGTTGACCTGTTGCTGAAAACTACAACGGGGAGCAGATGCGGACGTTTCTGCACAAACACAATATGGCGGCAGTCAACTCTTTCTACATGTCGGGGGACACTTTCTATGGGCAGTTTGGCAACAGCTCAAGGATTGACTATGTTTGTCTTCCGCACTCCATGTTATCACGAGTGGATCGATGTCAAGTTCTTTTCGCTGCCGGCAAACGGCTTCAGTGCATACCTGTGGCGGGCAAACGTGATCATATGCCGTTGCAAGTGGTTTTCGCTCACCGGCACACTTTCAACGAGCGGAGGGAGTCGTTTGCATGGGATCGCGCTGCATTGGTTAAAGAGTTAAAGGGGTCTTGGCCGGATTGCATCGTCCAGAGCTTCTTGAAGCATGTGAGACCAGTCTGGCGCGTCATAGTCTTGAGTCCTTCAAGGGCAAGTCTCCAGACGAGTTGTCATTGTGGGCGGTCATTAAGAAGGCTGTGGTTGATGCAGGGCGAGAAGTTTACCAGCAACATCCAAAACACTACATGGACCCTGATGATACAAAGCAGGCTCATGAACACATGGTTCAATGTCGCTGTAATCTTGTATCCTTGCCACAACCAGCTCGACGTCAACATGTATTGCGGGATTCATTCTCGAATTCTGAAGTATCTGCGATGCTGCGACAATGGTCTGCACTGGTCAAAGTTTGGAGGGCACGTTCTCAGTTGGACATCCTGGCTAAGCGAGATAAACAATACAGAAACCGCGCACTGGTACACGATTTCGAGTACTTCTGGGCACGGCGGGATTTCTCCAACATGTGGACCACAGCACGTTTGCTGTCACAGAGGTCAATTGGCCCCAAGAAAAGGGTTTACAATAAAACGGTATCCGTGCGACCTTCGCTTTCTGATTGGGATGTGCACTTGGCTAAACCAGGTAAGGATGGTGGATGGCTGGCAACAAAAGTTCCGGGATTCACAACATGTTACAGCGATAGACCTTCACGTCATGTGTGGGATGTGGTTGAGCAGGCCAACTCGGATTTCAATAGTTTTCTGCGGATTGTTCACAAGAAGAAACTACGTAAGGCATGCCCTGATTGGTCCGCCCCCGCGGAAGTGTGGCGACAGCTACTGCATCCAAAATATTATCGAACAACTTTGCGCAGTGGGGTCGGTTATGTCGCATCTCAACATGAAGCACCTCTCATACGACAGTGGATGCAGCAACTCTTCATTTCAATTCGCATGTGGACGCGTGTTCCAGGTCAGTGGCACCACAGTCGGGGTATTCAGTTGGACAAGGACAATGGAAAAGCTGGGTGCAGTGCTATTCGAGTCATCAATTCGTTGGACCCGGTCGGGAGTGCTTTCTATTCTTACTTGTGGGGGAAATGTCGTCCTTCGGGGGCTAGGACATGTGCTGCTGGATATTGTCAGGGACGGTCACGATTGGAGCCTATGTGCCAACAACACAGTGTTGCCGCTAAACTCCGCAGTCTTGGAATCCCACACGTTCGCAGTTTCTTCAGCAACGCTTTTCCCAGCGAATCTCTTGCATCTTTGGAGAGTACTGTGGATGGCATTGCAGCAGTTGTGGATAGACCACTTTGGCGACAACGGCTGGGGGAGGCCACAGTCAGAATTGAGACGGGGGAGGGGTTTGCAGATTACAGACCGCGATCCGGGGCACTACAGGGAGATGGACCCTCATCTCAGCTCTTTCTTGAACCATTTCATCCGGTTTTGGATCGATGGGATTCACAGTGTCAACAGCTGGGTGGGGGACTGGCCCTTTATTCCACATGTTTCGTATATGAGGAACAAGAAACTAATTTGGCGATGTCTACCTATGCAGACGACATCAGCAGGGTCACATTGTGTTCATCTGCAACGGATTGTGTGGACAAAATCTCTCGCATCAACCGCTCGTTGGACGCAGAGTTGGATACTATCGCACTTGCACAAAACAGATCCAAACAGGAGCACGTGGTGTGGTTTGGTGGCAAACATAGCAAAGAAAATAACAAAACTATGTATCAGTCAGAGCGCCTTCCTGGGACCACCAATTTGGCAGCTAAATATTTGGGTGGGTGGCAACATTTCAAGGGACAGGTGCAAGACGAAGTGGACAGTCGTGTTAGTTCGGCTCAGCGCTGCTGGATGCGGATGGGTTTCTTCTGGTCTCGTGGCACAGAAGGGAAGCGTGGGAAACTGCTGGTATACACTTCGTTGGTGTACAACACATTGTTGTCCGGACTTGAGGCGTTGGTTTTACGGGATTGCCATCAAAAGCTGCTGGATAGTAAGGTCCTGGGACATGGCCGAAAACTTATGCGGGGACAAGCGTGCAAAAAAGAACACCTCGAGGACGGAACAATCAGATACACGGCTCATCATTCCAATGTGGTGTGGAAATGGTTGGGACTCGTGCCGGCTCGCATTGAGCTACGGGTTCGCAGGCTGCGGTGGTACCAATCACTCGCTAAGGATATCTGGGCTCACAGA